GGGAAGAGCAAGGTACGCAATTCCCAATTTATTATGTTAGCAGGACCTTGGGTGAGGCCGAAACTAGGTACCCTCACCTCGGAAAACTGGCGCTCGCTTTGTTAAGTGCCTCTAGGAAGCTAAAATCATACCTCCAATGTCACCCTATATGTGTCGTAACTACTTATCCGTTAAGGAACGTTATGCATAAACCCGAACTCTCGGGTCGGTTGGCCAAATGGGCCATTGAAATAAGTAGGTACGATATTGAGTACCGACCTCGGACCGCCATTAAGTCCCAAATTTTGGCAGATTTCGTGGCCGACTTCACGCCGACCTTAATACCCGAGGTCAAAAGAGAGTTATTGATTAACTCGAGGACTTCCTCGGGAATCTGGAGCCTCTTTACGGACGGTGCCTCAAACGCAAAAGGGTCCGGACTTGGTATCGTACTAAAGCCGCTAACAAGAAATATAATTAGACAATCTATTAAGACTGTGAAATTGACTAACAACGAGGCCGAATATGAGGCCATGATTGTAGGCCTTGAATTAGCCAAAAACTTGGGGGCAGAAGTAATCGAAGCTAAGTGCGACTCGCTCCTTGTGGTAAACCAAGTTAATGGAACGTTCGAGGTCAGGGAAGAATGAATGTAGAGATACTTGGATAAGTTACAAGTGACATTACATCGGTTCAAAGAATAGACTTTGCAACATGTGCCTTGGGATCAAAACAGCGAGGCGGATGCCCTCACTAATTTGGGATCGTCGATCGAAGACAACGAGATCAACTTGGGAGAAGTCGTACAACTTATGAGATCGGTAGTGGAAGAAGGCCACGCCGAGATCAACTCAACGAGCCTGACTTGGGATTGGAGGAATAAGTACGTGGAATATCTCAGGACCGAAAAACTGCCCCCGAACATAAAAGAATCGAGAACCCTACGTACGAAGGCAACCCGATTTAGCCTGTCCGAAGACGGAACCCTGTTCAGAAGAACGTTCGATGGCCTAGTTGCAATATGTCTAGGGCCAGGGGATACTGAGTACGTTCTGAGGGAAATCCACGAAGGTTCTTATGGAAATCATTCAGATGCCGAATCACTGGTTCGAAAAATAATCAGAGTCGTTTACTACTGGATCAACATGGAAAAAATGCAAATAAGTTTGTTCAAAAATGTGATAAATGCCAAAGGTACGCTCCGATGATTCATCAATCTGGGGAGATGCTGCATTCGGTCTTGTCACCATGGCCTTTCATGAAATGGGGGATGGACATCGTCGGCTCCCTCCCACGGGCACCCGATAAGGCTCAATTTATTTTATTTATGACTGACTATTTCTCTAAATGGGTGGAAGCACAGGCATATGAGAAAGTTAGGGAAAAAAAAGTCATCGACTTTATCTGGGACCACATCATATGTCGGTTCGGAATACCGGCCGAGATCATGTGCGACAACAGAAATAATTTATTGGCAGCAAAGTAAGTAAGTTTCTCGAAGACCATAAGATCAAAAGGATCTTATCCACTCCCTATCACCCTAATGGGAATGGACAAGCTGAATCTACCAACAAAACCATACTCCAAAGCCTTAAAAAGAGGTTAGCCGACGCAAAAGGAAAATGGAAGAAAATGCTACCTGAGGTCCTATGGGCATACCGTACGACCTCAAAGTCCAGTACCGGGGCCACCCCATTTTCTTTGGTTATGGCACTGAAGCTTTAATATGAGTCGAGGTTGGAGAACCAAGCATCAGAATCCGATATGCAACGAAGGAATCAAATGACGAAGCTATGAGTGCGAGCCTGGAGCTATTAGATGAAAGGTGCGAAACCGCCCTTATCCAACTGGCCGCCCAAAAATAGCGGATCGAAAGGTATTACAATCGAAGGGCCAACCTTCGACACTTTATTACCGTGGACTTGGTACTAAGAAAGGTCACACTAAGCACCCGAAATCCGAACGAAGGGAAATTGGGGCTGAATTGGGAAGGACCGTACCGAGTTATCGAGATCACCGAGAAAGTATCCTACAAGCTCGGAACAATGAACGACGAGCAACTACCAAACAACTAGAATATAACTCACTTAAAGTGATATTACTGTTAAGGTACGGTCCTGTTCTTTCTTTTATCTACATTTTAAACTAACACTTACAAGTAACCAACAAAGGGTGATTCGAGACCCTAGGTCTGAAAGCACGTGTTTCACTCTTTTTCTCTTGAACCAGCTTTATCCCAAATGGGTTTTCCGGTAAGGTTTTTAACGAGGCAACAAGTAAATCGTGCTAACTTAGAATCGAAGGCCAACCGGTGACAATGATCACAACAGCATTCGAGGCCTCTCTTCGATCAACCTCGAACACTGGGGGGAAATATCCTCGGATATCGAATTTAACTAGGCATATCGACTTCGTGATTGAAGGGCCTCGATCAATAAGATTTTTTGTAAGGGCCAAACGATCAAATGAACCGTGCCCGATCAAATCACTCGAGCCCTGGCACTAAACATGTATATATGTACAACTATTATGCACAAGAATAAAAAAAGAAGACTCTTCTTTGCATATAAACATCTTGTCCTCAAAAAAGTTTCTTGCATTACTCAAGGAATTTCCTACACCTGATCCCCTAAAGATATCGAGCCCAAGGGCCACCTTAATCTCAGTTCGATCATTCACTTCATTCGGGGACTGTAGGCATCGCCTAAATTAAAAGGCCAAGGCCATTCCCGGGTCAACGAAACCCGAGGGCACAAAAGCTTATTTGGCATTGCCCGAATTAAAAAGCTTAGGCTATTCCCGAGTCAACGAAACCCGAGGGTACAAAAGCTCATTTGGTATTGCCCGAACTAAATAGGCTATGGTCATATTATCACGACTTGGATACGTTCAAAACTCGTAACAAAAATAAGGCCTTCAAAAAATGGTTTTAAAGGCTATCCTCGACAAGTTATAAACCTAAATTATTTTGGGGAAAAGTTTTCGGTAACACCGAATCCCTATAATGCCTTCGAACATAAGGCAAGGTTTGTTCGAACCTTCGAACATAACCTAATCATTTCATGCTAAGGCATTTCGACCTTTGCGAATACAAATAAAAAAGCAAAAGAAAGATTCAAAATCTATGAAAAGGAAAAGCCTTATATATATATATATATATATATCAAAATTTCTTTACAAGGGCTGAATAGCCGTGATACATATTTTTTTACTAAAGGCTGAATGGCCTCAACAAAAAAATAGCACAAAAAGCAAAAAGATCCTAAATGGCCTAATCTTCATAGGGGGCTACATATGGCCTACGGGATCATCGCCACCATCGGACCCACCTGACTCTTCAAACCCCTCAGAATCTTCCTCGGGATAAGCCAGCTTCCGGGCCTTGGCTTCGTATATCTTGGCATTCTCAATTTCAGCCAATATGTCAAAATTCTGAGAATGGACTCCCTCAAGGGCCTCCCTTTGGGATTGCCACCTCGCATGCTTCACCATGTTTCTCGCTTGTTCCAAAATGGCCTCGACATCGGCCTTGAACTGGGTCACTTTATCATCGGCCTCGTTCTTGGCCACAACGATATCTAACTTGGCCGCCTCAAGCTCCTTGGCCAGGTTCTCTTGACCAGAAACAACCGAGTTCAACTAAGATTGAAGTCCTTCGATCGTATTAGCCTGCACTGAATATTTCTCCTTTATAGCCCGAAGCTGAACCTCAGCCGAAGCCAACTGCGTCCGGGCAGTCTCTTTTCCTGAGGCCAGGCGGTCCATATTTTTCTTCCATTTTTCGGCCTCAGCCTTTACCATGGGTTCGGGTCGTTAGCCAATGTATCTGAATCATCATCACTAAGTTCGAATATTCGTCTTACCTGCTCGACCAAATCGGCATGCTCCTTCCGAGCTTCTTCTAACTCGGCCTTGAGCTTCTCACTAAGAAGCTTGTAAGCATCCTTCTTCTTAGCAAGCTCCCGAGTCCCGGCCTCGTGACGCTTGAACTCCTCCCAATATCAGAGAAAGGCCTCGTGATGAAGCACCGAGGCCTGCAAACACAAAGGAAAATGTTATGATTAGGATTAACACGCGGAGCTGGGAACTGATTCACTAATTTTGGGCTTGAAGAAGACCCGCCAGCTCCCGAGGACGGTATCTTCTTTGGTACGAGTAAGTCGCTGTCATGACCCAAACCGATGGGCCGCGACAGGCACTTGGTACCTTACTCATCCGAGTACCAACGTAACGTATCTTTCGTATCATACTATCATAGGTAAATAGGCCGAAGAGGCTGTCGTGAGATAAGAAGAATAAAACATGTAATACCAACTTATACATAAGACTACGGACCTATAAGACCAAAATAATCACTCGTACACTGGACATAAGCGGACAAGGCCATACAATCTTTTACGTACATGACATATGTCTACAACCCTCTAAGAGTAGATAAATACCATAAAGGTCAGGACAGGACCCCGCCATACTAAACAATATATGTCCTAATTATACTGACCACTAAAAAAAAATAACGTGTAGCGACGGACGTATTCCGTCGCTAAACATCTTATTTCCGTCGCTAAACCAGCTTAGCGACGATTTAGCGACAGATTCAAGTTGGTCTCTAAAATGCTCGCAACTAAGCGCATAGCGACAAAAAATACAAAACCGTCGCAAATCTAGCGACGGATTAGCGAGGCAATATATCCGTAGCGAAGTTTAGCGACCCAAAAAACCATTGCTATTTTGCTTCGTTTCGTCGCTACAATTCATAATAAACTTTGTCGTTTGTTCTTATTAGCAACGAAAGAATCCGTCGCTAGTTCTTCCTGCTTTTAGCGATAAAAATCTTTTGTCGCCAATCTGTCACAAGATTAGTTTTATGCGTTAATTTTATCTACGAAAAATATTTGTCGCTAATTTTTTAATTATTTATTTATTTATTTATTATTTTAAATGTACCCTGTTCAAGCATATTATAAAAATGCTATTAAATATATTTAATTAAAAGTGACTAATATTAATATAAATTAACATTCAACAAAGTCCAAAATATATAACATAATGATTATAACTGTATCTTTAAGTACAAAACATCCACAAGTACCAACAATAAAGTCTAAACAAAATAGGCTAAATGATCATCACAAATGCATGAACCTCATCAATGTTAGCAACATTAGAAGAGGTAGGCAATGTAGGTGCCACATCTGATAGATGGTTGGTAAGATCAATTTTGGCGAGGGTAAAGAAACTAATTCGCGTACCCGCTCAACAATTACAGGAACTATATGATCTGCCAGTACAGGAATTAATCGTGTCACTAACTCATCCAGATTTTCTATCGGTGTTGATTGAGCATTTGAACGTGATGCTGAGGATATTGCATCATATCCAAAAGAGTCACGAAGATTCGGCCCGTAGTACCATTTTGCTTGAGATCCAAGATCATATACTCTTCTTTTCTTTTCTCCTCCCGCAACTTCGTAATATGCTTTACAATGATCAATATCAGATTGACTCTATGTTTGCTGTTGTAATATTTCCTGATATTTTTTCAGTAGAAGAGTTAATAATTAGTAAATTGAAACATTAAAAAATATTGAGTATTCAATTTACAAAATAAAAAAAGATATGAAAGTAAAGTCAATAAAACTATTTAAAAAGTTTACTTACATGTACGATTTAGGATTTCTCACCAACAAAAGATTTTCCGTCATTACCATGTGTATGGACGGGCAAATGTATCTCACTTGGTGTTGGATCTCGACCCTTTTTAAGGGCCTATACAACATATATTCAATTCAAAAGATTGGCAAAAAGACGTTTGTATAAAAATGAGATTGAAAAATAACATAAAGAAAAGGAAGCAACTTAAGTAGAAAAATGCGGATAAAAGTCAGAAGCTTCTATAAGTTTTTGGATAGGCTAGTTGAAAATGCTAACTTCATTTGTCTACTTGTTTATCTGAATATAACATTGCCTCTCCCTACAAATGTTCCAGGAACCAAAGCGAGTTTTATCTTTATATCTAAACAGGAAGCAACTAGGCTTCCAACCTCCAGTGACACACATCATTTCCATTTAAAAAGAAAACAAGTACAAATGGAGCATATTCTAGATGATAATTTGAACTTTTGAAGCATCTCCAAGTATAAACTTCAAGTTAAGAATATGAATGCAGTAGGTGTTGTGACATTATTCACTGTCCAGCACCTAAATTTTGAGACTTTCCCTGCTTTCACAAAAACAATCGCATAAAGAGTTAATGTATTTTCGTCTCAATACAGAAGAAAAGGTTGAAAACTGATACAACCTCACACCATATGGATTGGCAACCTTATCATACTTAATATATGTGGGAATAAGCCACTTCTTCAATCAAGCCTTGAAGGGTTTCCGCATTGTTAGCCCATTAAGATGTGCAAATATCCATACAATGTCAATCACATTGCTTAATATCCAACATATTGCATCTTTTCTTTACCTGAATGACATTAACATGGGATTAAGAAGGAAAAAAGGAATACACTTTGATTATAAGTCATACCAAGAAATGTGGAAAGGCTCATTCAAGTAGTTGTAGACACTGATAATCAAATTGTCATTTGTAACAGTCAATCTGTGGCCCTGAAAACTGCCCATTAATCAAGATTCCCTGCCACCAACATTGTCAAAAATAGAGTGTTAAAATCACCTCAATAAGAACCCATGAAATTTCAACAAACATACATTTAAAGAATGAGATTTACCTGTTGTTTGACACCCAAAGGGTAAATGTCTCCATAAGTGATTTTCCAAGTGTAATATCGATAAGGATTGTCACAATATACACTTTGTAGAGTAACTAACACAAGAATAGTGAGAATGGCAGAATGGAGAATGGCAGAGTAACTCGATCAGCAACAAACTTTAAAAAAACAGCAGTAGCTATATTCATTCTTGCAAAAACTATAGAAGCAGGGATATCCTTCAATCTCTCATCATCTCCAATTGGCTTTTTCTTTATCTGCTCCACACCTACACCCCCTAATTTTCGCCCAGCCTTACCTAGACCTTGAGCATTGTTCATAATCCTCTGCACTTCTTTATGTGCATGATTCGCATGAGGCACGTTTAACACATGAGCATCTGCAGATGTGACATAAGTATTTCCATCTGAATCGACTTGATCTCCGGCTGCGTTTTCACCTTTTGTCATACCTCTTCTTTCGTTCAGCAGCTGCCTCAAATCACCCTTGTATTTATCATCAACACCTTCATCAACTTGATCATTCTCATTATTTTTGGCGACGAGCTGTCGACATGAACTCTCATCGTGGCCTTGGTGCTTACAATGAGAACAATATAACGGCAAATTATCATACACCACCTCCTGCAGTACATCAATAATTTTTCCCGTTTTTTTGTCGACACTTTGAATTTTAATTTTGTTCGAAGCTTAACCAACAAGTCCACAATCACCCTAACTTTATCTGTACTTGGTCTCGACCTCACCTGCGTCGCCTTATCCACTGCATTTGGCCTCCCAACAGCAGCAACTATGGACAGTAAGGAACGACGAGCAAACAAATCTGGAGATAGGCTTGGTAAGGAAATCCAAACGGCAGCCATTGAAGTTTCCTCGTTAGGATTGAAACCAATAGTACATGGAAAAATTCTAACTTGGTGTTCCTTGCCATTGTATGAGAAATAATTCACACTACGTACTAGTACAATGACAAAATCTTCATATTGATCGAGACGCAAAAGAAGTTGTCTTTGTGCAAGTAGACCGAGTAAGCTGTTACCTTTCACGCCAAAAATCTTTGGCAGCAACGTTCTCAAGAATTCCAGATTTAGTGCGCCATTAGACAGCTTGATAACAATAGCTTGATGTAGCCCTTCTTCCTTAGCAAATTCTTCCCTTACTTCCATTGTAAACTGCAGAGTTGGGATGCCATGAACAACTTCAGTTTTCTTGAGAATTGTCTTCGTTAAATTTGTTGCGTCTTGTGTTTATTCAATCACTGCCAAACCAGAATCATTTGCTACAGTGAACGCGATGCCATTTTTGAGATTTGGAGCAGCTCGTTTTGAATCTCGGACTGAATTTTGTCGGAGAGATAGATTTTGATGTGGAGAACAAACCCCATGGCTTCGAATTGCAAATTCTGAACAAGAATGGTGCTGGAAAATTCCAACAGTAATCGCGTCACCAAAGAGGAGATCTGAAGCATCTGTGTTTGAAATTAATGGAGCACCCAACTGGGGTTTGTTAGCCTTTGGATTGGGGTTATTTTGGGACTGGTCCGGTGGCTTTTCACCACCGGACGACGGCACAGTGGCCATTACTGTGCTGTCCGGTTACTGTTCATCTCAATCGCAGGGAGAGGAGACTTGTGAGATTTGAGAGGCATCGACCTCTACCATTTAGCGGTGCTGAGTGAGAGGATGCTCAGGGTTTTCTGGATAAGTGTCAACGGATGCTTCGGACAGCGAGTATTCTAGAGACCAGTGGGGTCGCATTCACTACTTTTTAGTTTTCTGGGGCTGCCTTCAGATGGTGGGAGGCTTACGAGAGGTGTAGGCCGGTCGGTACAACACCCCTTACCTGACAATAGTTCTCCGATCTATTCCTGGAGAAGTTCGTGCCTCAGTCCCACAGAGAGGAGCTGCGCAGGCAGTTCGAGCAGCTTCGATAGGGTGATATGTCCGTGACACAGTATTAGATGAGATTTTTAGAATTGGCCCGTCACGCTATCTGGTTGATTCTCATAGACAGGGAAAGGATCAGGAGGTTCATAGATGGCCTCACTTTTCAGCTGCAATTACTCATGACTAGAGAGAGAGTGTTTGGTGCTACTTTCGACGAGGTTGTCGACATTGCTCGTCAGATTGAGATGGTTCGCAGCCAGGAGCGGGTTGAGAGGGAGGCTAAGAGGCCTCGTGGTTCAGGTGATTTCAGCGGTGTTCTTTCAGCGAGTCAGTTTTACCGCGGTAGGGGTCATTTTTACAGACACGCTCAGATGGGTCGTCCAGCTCATTGTGGTGCATCAGCTAGTCACAGTTCTTACAATGCTCACACATGCCAGTCTTCATTCAGTGCATTACCAGTGCATAGTTCTCATCATGCCTCGTTCGCTCAGGCTTCTACAGGTAATTCTTCGGGTTGTCCGAAGCAACAGTTCCGTCAGAGGAGAGGTTGTTTCGAGTGCGGAGAATTGGGTCATTTCAAGAGAGATTGTCCTAGGCTATTGAGTAGGGCTCTGCAGTAGAGTTCTCGACCAACGACACCAGCACCAACAGTTACACCACCCACCCACCCAGCTCGGGGTGGGGGTCAGGCAGCTAGGGGTCGCCCAAGAGTGGGAGGCCGGTCAGGTAGCGGTCAGGCCCGATTCTATGCTTTTCTTGCCAGGATAGATGTTGTTGCCTCAGATGTAGTGATCACAGGTATTGTTTCAGTGTTCCACAGGGAGGCTTCTATATTATTTGACCCTGGTTCCACTTATTCATATGTATTATCATATTTTGCTCATTATCCGGATATGCCCTGTGAGTCCTTGGTTTCACTTGGTTTATGTATCTACACCGGTGGGCGATATTATTACTATGGACCGTGTGTATCAGTTGTGTGTGGTAACTATTGGGGAACTGGAGACTATAGTTAATCTCTTATTACTCGGTATGATTGATTTTGATGTAATCCTGGGTATGAATTGGTTGTCTCCATGTCATGCTATTCTGGATTGTCACGCAAAAATCGTGACGTTGACGATGCCGGGGTTGCCAAAGGTTGAATGGAGAGGTTCTCTAGATTTTGTTCCTAGCAGGGTAATTTCTTATTTGAAGGTCCAACGTATGGTTGGAAAGGGATGTCTGTCATATTTGGCATTTGTGAGGGATGTTGATGCAAATACTCCTATTACTGATTGAGTACCGGTCGTGCGAGGCTTTTTGGATGTATTTCCTGCAAACCTGCTGGGTATGCCACCCGACAGGGATATTGATTTCGGTATTGACTTGGTGCAGGGCACTCAGCCCATTTCTATTCCTCCGTATCGTATGACACCAGCTGAGTTAAAAGAATTGAAAGAGCAACTTCAGGAACTCCTTGAAAAGGGGTTTATTAGGCCTAGTGTGTCACCTTGGGGTGCACCGATTTTGTTTGTGAAAAAGAAAGATGATACTATGCGGATATACATTTTGGCATTAGGGTTTTTTAAATCAAGGATTTGAAGAGAAGAAATTAGGTTTTTTTTACTTGAATAAGAAAATGAACAATGTTCATTCTGCCATGTTCAAACAAGAATTCCTTTGGGCGAAGAACATTGTTCTTCTCCTTTGGAGAATAGTGAGAATGACAGAATGTACCAGTCAAACAAGAATTACCATATCAAAATTCCTCAAGAGAAAGAAGAACAAAACAGAAAAGAGAATGTTTATCTGCACAAAGATAAGAATAATGGCGTAGACAAAGTGCAAATATAGTAAAAATAAGTGCTTTCGTGCGAGAATCTTGCGAGCAGCAAACATAAATGGAATGAAGTTGAGAGATATTTTGAATTTGTTGGCAATTTCTGAAGTTCTACAACAAAAGTTTTTACCCAATTTCGAAATTTCTTCTATTTGCTATCAGATGTCTATGTTCCCATTGCATATGAGCCTTAAATTCATACATAATTAGTTGTATTGTAAGGAAGAAACTCACATTATTGAAGATAGAGAGCAAGTGGCGACTTTGATAGAGAGGAGAGAATATGAGTCTGTTTGTGCCCTAGATAAACTTTAAAAAACTAGCAACGAAAATAGCGACAGATAAATTTATGTTGCTAATAATAACTTGGAAAATTTATTCTTAAGAATCTACCGACCGAATTTTCGTCGCAACTAATTTTGGAATTGTTTTTCTAAGTAAAATAAAACAGCGACAGAATTTCGTCGCTAATTTCGTTGCTATATTTTAATAATTTTGCCACCCCATTTTTGTCGCTAAATTTGTAGATAAAATAAAGGCGCCAATTGTTAGCGCCAATTTTTAGCGACGGATATAAATATTTGTCGCTAATCCATCGCTATATTTCACACTAAATCTTTTGTAGTTTATTTGACGACAGACTATAAAATTCGTCGCTAATCCATCGTAATTTACCTACGGAATATGGCTTGTCGCTAAAATCCGTCGCTAAACGCTGTTTTTTTGTAGTGGACCCAATAAGCAACTCTGGAGCAAATGGAGTGCACCAACATCTTCCGCTGAGCTGACAGCCTACTTGGAGAACTCTCGACCTGTCTATCGATACCTGCAGGCATGAAACATAGCATCCCCAGGCAAAAGGGACGTCAGTACAAATAATGTACCGAGTATGTAGGGAATGAAAATCAGCAAACAATAGACATGAGAGAAACATGGAATAAAACACTCAACATGTAAGTCTGAATAGCTCTGTAAATCATTTCATATTTATAATGTCATGCATACGCGTATAAATATCATACCATGCATAGGTATATGCGTTCATAACATCATCAAGCCTCTGAGGGCATCCCATCATATCATCTCGACCACTATGGGCAAATCATCAACGTATACTAGCTGACCAGGTGGTGGTGCGTATATAACGCCATAACCTTTTCCCATATCCCATATACATATAATATACGCGTATATAATGCCATCTGGTCATGGGTCAATGTACATGTATAAATGCATGAAATGCATAAGAAGTGCGTTAATATGATTTCTCGGAATGTTATAAAATCATTATGCCTTTCAGATAACTTTATCAACTATGTATTTTTCTGAGACCCATGAACAGAAGATATAATAATAATTCACATGGGGAATCAAGAATATAGACGTCCCTAGTACTTCTATGAATAGAGTCATTTATAATAGTTGTGCATTTGCTCGTTTTGTTTGTATCGTATTGACCATGCCAAAAGAAAGAAGGGATAGCCTTAACATACCTGAGTCGATTCTCTTGACCATCCCTCTAACACACGTTAATTGCAACAAAATACGTGACGACAAGATCGGAGTAAAGAAAAATCCGTATGATATTCTTGAGAAAGATTGCACCGTACTCCCTTATAATCGCGATTTCACGCTGCTATAGTATTATGCAGTTCGTATGAATTGTTTGAGCGCCATCCGTTACTTAGCAAATCTTAGCATCGCACTTTAAATCTTAGCATCCGTTACTACAAGAAAGGAAATCAATAGATGCCATACCATTTTTGCCTCCTTGATAGCTTTCTTCAATCAAATGAGATGAAGTGCAAATAAGATAAGGAAATATTGCCACCACTTCCTTAAGCATAAGAATAGGTGGAAATTTGCTTCCACATTCCCATACACATTCCCATAGCCCCACGTGAATTGTTGTCCCCTTAATAATTATCCAAAATCCTACTTAAATAATTATCCACAAACTTCTAATTAATTTGTTAACTTTCCACTCAAATCAATAATTAACCAATTATCCATATAGTTAAGAATTACCTCAAATTACTTAAAATACTACTCACTTTTAACACACTTTATATACCTTACTATCATGGTCATGTGGTACTTTGTATGACACAAGTCCATAAATAGCGGGTATTATAGCTTGGACCGTATTTTATCTCAAAATGTCAAACTTAGATGAAACTCATTTTCTTCGATTCGCTTATCCTCTCACCGTCACGAATTTACTCATCACTTGTTTGAAATAGCATAATACTTATAACCTCAAAATAATCTCATTCCGAGCTTATGTCGATTAACTTATGACGAAACTTTAATGTACGAAAATGCGGATGTAACATCTCATTTCTGAGCTTTTATTAATTTACTTAAGGCATATTTTTACGTACGAAAACATGGAGTGTAACATCATTCCCCCCTTTGGAATATTCGTCCTTGAATGTTGGTTGATGCACTTATCGGTCTCATAACCGAATAATTCTTACGAATGGTTTACTACTGTCCTTGCCATCTAGGCAACTATTTTGTGAATAAATCCAAAGTCCAGGGCATTCCCACCTTTAGGCCTCTTTCTCACACCACGGCCTGTGGCCGGAATTCTTCCAACTCGTAACTGTTGCTACCTTCTGTCATGCAACCTGTATGGCTTTTTCCTTGTATGTGCGCCTATCCGACCCTTCTCTCATTTTTCATCCAGCCTTTAGCTAATCTCTAGGCCTCACTTTATGAACATATACAAAATTATGACAAGTTGCACTGTCTCTCTTGTATATTTGATATTAAGAGTGATTCTACAATGTTCTCAATCACGATTTCTATAATTTTCTGGGTCCAATAATCAGACTCCTGATTTACTTAGTTAATGTAACTCTTTAGTTTTCTCTTCCTTCTGATCAGCCTTTACGTAGGCTTAATCTATCTTCCGATTTGCGGCTCCTGGTATTAGTCATTACTTTAGCCTTTCATGGACGCTATGAAATATCCATGATACAATCTTCTAACGATTTAATCATTTGTCT